ATCTATATATATATATATATATATATATATATATATATATATATATAATCTCTATCATTTTTACTGTAGTTTATCATTGCCATTGTTTACTGTTCTGTCTGGAGCAGGTCTCTTGTAAACGAGTCCTTGTGGCTCCATGAAGCCAACCTGTATAAATAAAAGGTTGAATAAATCATTATGTATATCTATATATTCATTCAACCTTTATTGATACAGGCTAGTCCCATTGAGCCAATAGGACTCATTTACAAGAGAGACCTGGATGTTAACAAAGAGTGATGACAACAGTGGATAACAAACTGTTTTTCAATTGTAAAACAAACAATTAAAAAAAATTAAATTTGTATGAATAATTTGTGAATGTGTATTGTTGTTGTCGTTGTTATCAGTGTCTTATTATCTTGTGCTCTGGTCCAGTGTCTTCATGGACGATGTGTGTGAGGGTGGGCATGTTTGGAGGTTGCTGTGTTGAAGCTCCATGGATCAGCCTCTCTGCAGCTCTCAGCACCTTCACTGAGCCTTGAGGGAATCACTGAGCTGCTCTTGTTCTTCACAGTTAGAAGGTGGGAGCTCTCGTCAAATGATGATCTCCAGCATCATCTTGTTCATGCCAGGCTTTTCATCCACTGACCACAGCCACCTGGAAACATCAGGGGGACCAGTAGCTGTTTAACACATCTGGAAGGAAACCAGTGAAATTTTAATATGACCATGACCATTACGATATGATGTTATGTGGGGGAGAGGTGGAGCAGAGGTTACAAGATGGGCCTGTGATGGGAAAGTCACAGGTTCAACTCCCGGTACCGTCAACATCAAAATGAGGTGGAAAAGGTGAAATACCCACACCTGCCTCCACCCTCATTGGCCCCACCCTGGTCCCCTGAGCAAGGCACTCAACCCCCACCATCTGCTCCTAAACAGGTCTCTCTAGAAAATGAGTTCTCGTGACTCAATGAAACTACCTGTATAAATAAAGGCTAAATGAAAAAAATAAAAGTTTAAAATAGAAATACTCACATCATTAGGCCGAGGTTGTGTGTGAGACGTGCACGTTCCTGAGAGTGTGTGTGTGACGTGCACGTTCCTGAGAGGCCACAGACAGAGCAGCTCCAGTTTTTGTTGAGTTCCTGTAATCCTGCAGTTTTCAAGCTGAAATGAAAAAGCATCATGAATATGAACTTTACAGTCTATAGTTACCTGTTTATATAAACACATGGAGGTGTCTCACCTTGTGACTGACAATAAAATAT